TAAACCAGCACTGTTTAGAATTTACTGGGACGGCCTCGTCTCTCAGAGTTAGCATGGTAAGAAGTACTGGGAATTAACCCTTACAATAGCTAAAGGCTCTGCCTCCCATTCTCCTTCTGAAGACTCTAGGAACCACAAGTAGACCTACATTCTAAAAGCGAAGTGCTCTGTTGGGATGAGTATAACAGACACTGTTGAATAACTGAAGTAAATAAAATAACTGCTAAAATACGGTCAAATATAATATAATGATGAATAGATGAGATTAAGACTAACCTAGTACCTTAATCCTCTTGGTCTCCCACACTCTCCACTTTTCTAGTTGTGTTGATGGTGTAAATTTTAACAACTTCTCACTAACATGGATTAAATAGACTGAAGTGTTAGGTCTGTCATAAACTGGCCCCAAACCAAAAACAAACTAGAGAAATGCATTTCCTGTCAAAAATGCGTGTCGAAGCTGATATGCTGAAGGATCGCCCTGAAAATGCCTGAAATCAATTGCTGAAATAGCTGAAGGATGAGATGCAATGCTGAACAACTGAACATTTAGATACCAGAACAGTATTTGTAGCTGAAAGCATGCAGGAGTTATTAAGTGCCAAAAAATATTGAAAAAAGCTGAATTTCTTAAAAAGTATGAAGGTTATTTAAAAAAATACAAAAAGGGATATCCTTAAAATGCTGAACATTTAGATACCACAATGGTGTTTGTAGCTGAAAGTATGCTGACTTTATTAAGATTTGAAAATTTTGCCCATTCATTTGAATGGGGCAAAATTTGATGATAAAAGCAGAATATTTTAAAAAGTATAAATGTTACAAACATGAAAAATAAAGCAGGAATATCCTTGAAGAGCTGAACATTTTGATACCTGAATGGTATTTCTAGGTGAAAGAATATGTGAGGAGTTAAATGCCAAAAAATGGACAGAAGACACAGATATGTCTCAATTGCACAGCATTTTATTGCCCACCAGATGGCACTCCAGGACCGTGTCATTGAGCTGCAACATTAGGATGGTTCAGCACTTTGAGCTCCCATTGACTTAAAAAGCTGAATATCTTAAAAAGTATCAAATGTTATAAAAAAGATGAATGGAAGCAGGAACGTCCTTGAAGAGCTAAACAGTTTAATACCTGAATGGCCTTTATAGCTGAAAGTATGTTGGAGTTATGAAGTGCCAAAAAACAGATGGAAGATCCCAGAATAATAATAAATAAAGAACAGGAAAACATACTGTGTTTGTCAGCATCCACACAATTATTTCATTTGCTAATCCAGAAAAATGCACTGGTTTCCACTAATTGGACAACAAAACACTAACATTGCAGTCACTTGGACTGACTGCAAATAATCAGAAAACTTAAATACAAATACAGAGGTATAAAATTGAAATGCTAAATGTAGCTTGCTAATGACACTGACATATACACATTAGCAAGCTACAGTAATTGCATGTGTACGAGGAAGAAAGCCACATCTGTGTCAAATTTTAGTTCTTTGGATGCTTTTAATGCTCTCCATCACCGACATGACAAACCAATGTTAACCTTGGTTTTGCCATGTTCTTTGTCACACTCTTCCTGTGCTACAGAACACGGCCTCTTGGATGTGACCATCCTGGTTTGTGCCTACACAGGGAGCTTCCACAGTCTGTGTTTGAAAAAAACCTCAGATCGACAGGGGCGTGGAAGCAGTGTGGTTCGGATTTTAACATTAGTGCTCATAGAGGGCAAGAAATGAAAACAAGACCTGAAGACAGCAGAGTGGGGTCTGTGTGTTTGGGGGTGGGGTGTTGTAATAGAGCAGGAAGAAAATGCTTCTATACATTTTTTTTTACTTGAATCTTTGTTAATGCAGCTTTAAACTCTTAACAAGAAAGAAACACACAGCTGCATAGAATACAATATGATAAATGCTCATTTATTTAAAACAATATGATCACAGAACATAAAGGCATGTGCAATGTTTTACATACAGTATATGTAACCACTGCTATCTTATCAGCTTTGGAAACTATCAACAGTTCTTTCATACATTTCATTAAAGATACCTGGGAGAGTTTCTGAATACAAATGCTGTTTCAATCAATCAATCAATCAATCAATCAACTACTCATTCATTAACATTCTTAAGACATTCTCCATTAATCCCCAGCTGTCTTGAATGACTGCAATGTAGCCTGTTGTCATATATAGGATTATCTGAATATATTGCTGTAAAACTGGTTGCAATGCCACATTCCAGTTAGCACAGAAACCTGCTTCAGCCTTGCAAGTTTATTAATCTCTGAGCAGTTTTCTTTTGACCAGGCAACATCCATCTAGGACTAGCTAGTTCAAAAAACATAAATAAAAACTACAAAAAATTCAGTTCAATTCAACTCAATTAAAATTTAAATAAAATATAAGATAAAGCAAACAGATCACACAACATGTACAAATAATTTCAGAATCAGTCAAACAATCATGTATTTAATAAACATAAGTAAGGATAAGGTAAGGATGAACTTTGTGAATGACAGAAAACAGTATAACACCACTATCACAATGTCCTTATCCTATGTATCCAATGTACTTATCCTAAGTCCATGTGAATACATTTAAAGTTAACAGTCTGTCACTTAGCCCTAACTGAACACAGATATTGTGTTGTATTGGAAATATAAAAGCAGTCTGGAACAGCACTGAATGTTTACAGCATGTCGGCGTGTTAATATCATAACAAGAACTGTATTTCGTGTTCCAAGATGGCACCTATTCAATATTCACGAAGGGTATTCCTACCTGTCTGCATACCACAGCTGACCAACAAGACATATTGGCAGCAGAACTGGTTCTTCCACACCATAACCAGGTCTCTTGACATGTCCATGGTTAAAGCTGAAATCAAATTACAATGAATTTTTACTAAGAAATCAGCATACAGTATATATGCTTGGCATTTGTTTTCACCTGTGTACTTATTTGGTTAAATGTGTAATTACCAAAAAGAAAGAAATCAGGTTTTATTCATTTTTTTCTCTGCTGTGGTAGCATCCTCTGCATTTGAATTTACAGAGTATAGCCTACCCTTGCTGTGAGTTTTGACAGTCTGGTCATATGCCATCACTACAGCTAACATTAACTAGGTCCCCTTCTTTTTACATTGTAAGGCAAACAGCAGTGAGTGTGCGGGAGGTTCCATTCACAGAGCAGGTGTTGAAATATCACAAACAAAGATAAAGATAATCAGTGCTAATATTAATCAAATTTAATTTGTTTTCTCCTTCTGAGTAAAAAGCTATAGTCAGTTAGCTTGCTGGCTTCCAGTTTCCAAGTGAAATGCTAACTTAACTATACAATAGGCTTTACCAAATATTGAATGTTGTAAAGAGACAGAAAATATTTCGCTGTTTGTGTATTAATGTTTGTAGGCACACCATGGAAGTTGACAATATCTCTTTTAGCAACACCAGCCCCCAAATGCTAATACAGAAGCTTTGTGTACACTTGTATGTCTTAAAAAAAAAAAAAACTAGATGGAAACATGCACAAGATCTACACTATCATTATATATTGTATTTCCTTACAGAAAAAGTGAGAGTTCAAAGCTCATTTAATTAATATGTTAATAGGTTGTAAACTACAAAATACAGGAGCAGTTAGTAGATACAGATAGTCCTTTAGGTTGCTAAAAAATATATCTAAATTATATCTAAATATAAAACCAATCAGATGAATGAGGGCTGAAATGACTTGTTCAGTCAAAAACAAAATGTCCAGTTATACAAAATTAAATCTGCCGACGGTCTGTGTTTCTCAGCAGCTTAAGATCTCCAAAGTGGCTGCTGCCATTAGTTTCCTTTAAGTTATATACAGTTTTTTCTATTTGGACTGCAGGAACCCAGGTCTATGATTCACCTGGAGGAGTGTCTGTATAGTATACAGTCTGGTATTTCATAATGAAAGAATGCTGATGAATTGTAGTTATTCCTGTAGGTCATTCTACAGCTAGTAGTAAAAGTTCATATTGCTGACAAGAAAAAAAATGCTTCATTTAATTAAAACTTGGACAAGAATCGATGAGTGGTATATAACAGTGTGCCACATTGACATGTGCATCCATCTATCAAATTGTAGGGCAGGGCGTAGAGAAACAATGTGCAGCAGCTGTAAACTGGCAGACAGTACAATATAAGTAAAGTCTGAGAATGAGTTAAAGTTGACATTTTTGTCAACTTTAAATGTGCTTGACCAAAGTATATTGTGTAAATAAAATAATCATGTGTGCTTTCAGTACCATGCTTCAAGTACAGAAAATAAAGAATGTTGCTGCTACAAATTCTGTTAAAAAACAAAAAAGACATAAAAACCATAAGCACATAAAGCAGGAGAATTCTGACAGTCCTCAGCACTACTAATGAGTCACAATGTCCTTCAATCCACTTATGTTGATTAGGAGTTCATTACTCAACTGTTCATGAGTTTATAGTTCTTGCTTTGTCTCCAGTCTCTTCCTGGTTCTTGTAATATTAGATTGTTTAGCCTAATACAGTAATTATTGCTTGTTTACGCTATGAAGCTAGTGTGCCTCGCTAAATGATTTATTTTTACCAAAAAGTAAAAAACACTTTATCAGATGAACAATTGGTGCAAATAGGAACAACACTTATACCCATTCACCCACTGTAGACACTGCACATTCAACCACACTAAGAACAATGAATTCAAATTTCATGTGCGAAATTAGGCTGTGATTGTTTTTAATCACATCCACTACTGTGTCACACACAACAGGACACAAGAGACAGGCAAAGACATACATGGACTGAATCACCCAAACAACAAATTCCCAAGGCCCAGCTGAAGCACCCTCACTGTGTTGTCACACCGGTGTGTGTAACGACTTCTCAATTTCATCACTGGGCGATGGGGGATTATTCCCCGTGAACTGGCTGAAGCTGGAGGCCCGAAAGC